AAATTCTATTTCACTGGTGACTCACTGATCAGCACACAATTACTGGCCCTCATCGGCTGGATCACACTGCACCCAGGCATGTCCTGCACACATCACCCTTTCCCCAGGCTCTGCTATCAGGTACAGGGTCATGGGAATATGTGACAGGAAGAGGGTTATAGTCAGGGGGCTGTAGTCTCAGAACCAGACATGAGCCTGCAGACATGCAAATGCAATTTTGCACAGGCTATAAGAAAGAGATGGCTGACACGTCACACTGTCCTAAAAATACAGAGCTAACAAAAACATCTTCAAATACATTCGTTAACAAAGATTCCACTATTATGACTGACTGAGCAGCTCAAGGATGGAGAAGCCCAGAGAGGCTGTGGCAGTTGCCTGTGGTTGCAGGGAAGGCGAAGCTGTCACTGCGGTTCAGGCTTTCTTCTGCAAGCCGACCACTGATAAGTGACGCCTTTCATTCCATCCGAATGGGAAAATCACGGAAAGCTATCCACAACTAATACTCACTTTGAGCAAGACTGTGTTCAGAAAAATCCTTGAACTGCAAGCTTTAAGTAAAGCAGAATAAAGCAACCAAGAAACTACTGGGATCAGCATCCGGCAGGGATGCTTTTATCAGCGCCGGTCCTCTCCTCTGAGCCACCCAGCCAGCTGGCTGGCTGCACTGTAACTTGTTCACCATCCATCAGGGAAATAAAGCAGCCCATCCCAGAAATGATGCAGAGATGGCTGTTTTGCAGTGACCCAGCCTTGTCAAAGCACAAAAAATGCATCATATCCCCAAAACCATTAGTGGCTCACACTTGGACTCCACTATCAAACCAGAATAGAGCAAGAAATGTGATGGACATGTTTGTGATGCTTCCCCTAACCTGAATCAATGCCCCTTTCAAAGCCGTGGCTTACACAGAATGATGGCATGCCCCCCTCCTTAAGGAAAAGCCCCCCCCTGCAAATACAACATGTTAATGAACCATTACACAAGCCCACTGAGAGAACATACCATTTGGAGTGCCTGGAAGCTGGCAGAAAGTATTAAGCTCAACATCTCTCAAAATCCCCAATAACAGAATATTAGAAGGTCAGGATCCTATTAAATTCAAGTCTGTTTTTGCTACTTCCTGTGTCAATTTTTTGCCCTCTCACAGGTTCATATTTTCCAGCTTGCCAATATGATTTCTTTCCTTTCTTCTCTTGCTGTTCTTAGCAGCACCCACGTCACATGGATCCATCCTCTTCCCACCTCCTCTTATTCCTGCATCCCCCCTTCCTCCTTCCATCCTGTCTGTGCACAAATATTTATTAAGCACTCTCTAGACCCCCAGAGAGATGGCAGACCCCATGTGCTATGGGGGACAGGGACCCCTTTCTGCGACAGAGCATGACAGAGACACACACCAGGGACTCAGTGGGATAGGATGTCAAGCTGAAGCCCACAGGATGACAGAAGGGTGAATATTCCATGTCAAGAGGGGAGCTCATGAAGATGTCTTGTAGTGGAAAAGAGTCCAGACACACCATGGAACTGAAAGACAAACTTCTAGCTGGGGAGCAGCAGGTGTAAGAGGCAGCTGTAGGGGGTGGGCCCGGCCACTCCCACCTGCTGGCCAGGCCTTGTGACTTGTGTCCATACAGCAGAGGTAAGCCAGTGAATGGAGTCAGGGGATAAGGGGATCACTTTTTGTTTGGAAACTCTCTCTGCTTGCCTCCTTGTGCTCTCTCTCTCCCTCCTACAGGTCCCTCCAGGGTGCACTTAACTGAGTGCTCCTTCATTACAAATGTCTGTTTTGGTCTTTCATCCCCTCCCCCCACAACACTCTAATCTGGCCTTCCTGCTTCACCACTCCTCTTCCACAGAGCATACCTTTGTCTTCCTTTCCCTCCCTCCCTGTGTGCCCTGGAGAGGTGAGACTGACTTCTGCTCCCCTGATCCAGGCTGAGCCCCTGCCTATTCTGCCCAACAGAGTGTAGTGAAGGGTCCGTTCTGGGGTTTTTAGGATCAGTCCCTACAGAGCCTGGTGGCCCTCATTTCCTTCTTCTCTGAGCACCCCCTGCCACCACCCCGGGGGACGCCTGTGCCAAGTGGAAAGGCTTTTAGAGGGAGCTGAAGTAGCAGAGGTGACAGCCTCAGCTGAGCTCCCACCAGCAGCTGCCACCACCACCAGCCGTGGCGTTAAGACCCTCCACATTCCAGCTTGTCTGAGCCCCAGCTCCCTGCTTTCTGCCAAAAGCTCACACGCACAGACAGGCAGCCACATGGATCCAGTCGGTCCACAGCCTGGTGAGAAGTAATATGCATACATTTTTTTTTTAAGACACTAAGTTCAGGGTAGTCTGTCAAGCAGCAAAAGATAAATGACACTGTGTCTATGATGCCTTAAAATACATTCTGTCACCTGCTTATGCCACACCATGTTCGCGTGGACATGCAAGCCATACACTTAACAGTTACTTCAGAAAGGAGGTTCGACATCCCATTTCTCAGAAAAACTGAAGCAGAAGAGGAGGCAGCCTCGACAGATTCCATGATAGAAGCTAGCGGATGTGGCCAACAGGGAGATGGGGAAAAGAGGGAAGAAAAAGATAGTTACTTAGAGTTCAAGGGGAAACATGAGAGGGGTTCTGGGACCGTCAGCTGGGTCACACATGTGGGGCGTAGCATTATTTCTAGGGGCCTGCTCCCTGGGGACAGCAGGTGGAGACTGTACCTTTGTTCCTTGAAATTCAGTTTATATAGAATTCTTGGTAACTCTTCATGAGCCAGAACATTAGAATCATCAAACATTTTATTTATTAGAGTTTGAGGTCCTGCATATAAGACACAAGAACCATCTCTATAGCCTTATTAGGATTCTACCATATTATAATATTTATTCTTGACTTCAAATGAAAAAGAACTAAGTTAGGCACAATGCAAAACCCTTACTGACATTTCCTTCTGAATTGTCCTACCATCTTACTCTGAGCAGAAATCCTCATTACCGTGCCTGTAAATGCACAACTGTCATTTGGTCTTTGCCAAGTACCACACTAAGCGTGCGAGGTACATCCATAGAGTGATCCCTTCCAAACTCTGTGAAGCTGGCATCTCCCCCGTTCTGCAAAGCAGGAGTCCAGGACTTAACTGCTCAGTTATACACATAGTAAATATTACAGCTAAGATTCACAACCCCGACTTCTCCAATCCTGACTCGTTGCCCTTAAGTAGTCAACTGCAATGGCCCTGTTAGGGGCTGAATTGTGTTCCCCCCAAAATTCACACGTGGAAGTCCAAGTTCATATGTTGAAGTACCTCAGTATGTGACTGTATTTGGAAAGAGTCTTTAAGGAAGTAGCAAGTTAAAATGAGGTCATTAGAGTGGGCCCTAATCCAAGACGACAGTTGTCCTCACAAGAAGAGATTAGAGAGCACAGACAGGCACAGAGAGAGGACCATGTGAAGACACAGGGAGAAGGTGGACATCTACAAGTTACAGGAGAGGAGCCTCAGAAGAAGCCAAACCTGCCAACACCTTAATCTTGGACTTCCAGCCTCCAGAAGAAAATACATTTCTGTGAGAAAACAAATTTTTGTTGTTTCAGTCATTCATTCTGTGGTATTTTATTATGGCAGTGCTGGGACACTGATGACCCAAAGATGAGCCATGGGGTTTCATGGGCTTCACCTACTCAGTAGGGGACCACTTACTCTGATTTTAGACACGTTGCAAAACTCAGGTGTCAGAAGCTGAAGAGCGGCAGCAAATCAGGAGGGAATAATATTCTTCTAGAAACAGGCCCAATGATTCAAATGAAATGTAACAGCCAGCAAATTAAATTAATAGCTGATACAAGATAAAGAATCACCCAGCCTCCTAGAAGCAGTCAGTATAGGACAAACATGTCAGCTGGTCCCAGAATCACTCTGTGAAAACCACGGGCAGTGGCCAATGGTCACGCTGTTTCCTAAGTCAGGAAGGCATGGGGCTTCCTTCTCTTCTAGGTAAGACCAAAGGCAGCAGTCACCACTAGGAAATATCTTTCTTTTATATTAAACTCGTTATCATACTCTGGACCCTATGGGGAAGAGGTGCTCTGGATCCCAATTTTGATTATGTAGTTTAGCCAAAAATTTTAGTGCTTCTAGAAATTTACCTTGCCTGAATACTTGCCTTTTGGGCATCTGGTCTACAAATCAGACTGTCCTGGATTACTGATGTATCCCTCATTTCCTGACCTCAGAAGCAGGACTATTAGAATATGACTGTTATGTGCCTTCTGTCACATACTCGACCCGCGTCACAAGCTTCCAAGCTCAGCTAGAGGTGACAATCCTCATGCACGCAGGTACTGGCAGCAGGGCTCTCCCAATGCACATTGGGGAATGCATCAAATGAGGAGCTGGGTCCAAACAGTGGATTCCAGTCATGCATGCCATAGGCCAGCAACTTATGCTGTGACCATAACTGCTGCCATTCAGGTGCAAAGGTACTTCCACATGCAAAAATGCCTCAGTGCCAATATGCACAAAAGTATATGTGTACCAGGCGCCTGGGTGGCTCAGTCCTTAAGCGTCTGCCTTCGGCTCAGGTCATGATCCCAGGGTCCTGGGATCGAGTCCCCCATCCGGTTCCCTTCTCAGCGGGAAGCCTGCTTCTCCCTCTCCCACTCCCCCTGCTTGTGTTCCCTCTCTCGCTGTGTCTCTCTCTGTCAAATAAATAAATAAAATCTTAAAAAAAAAAAAAAAAGTATATGTGTACCTATAACGCACAGCCCTGTGGACATGGTCATCGTGGGGAGAGTGCTAAGTAATGCAAGCCTGCATGCCAAGGCAGAGAACATGGGAGAAGGGGACAGAAGGCTTCTCAAAGGCCTGGCCATTCATGAAGCATCATGGGCAGCAAGGATCCCAAATTACAGATAATGTGTCTGGCGTTTCTATAAAATATGCAAATATGCTTGGTTGTTACGTGTATGCAAGAATAAAATCATTTTTCCTTTTTGTCCAATGTGCTTACCTGTTATAGAGAAGAATGTCTGGCTTCCAAATCAGGCCATCTGGGAAACGAACAGTCTTCACGCCCGGATATTCTGACACATTCCATTGTAAATAGTGATCTGTCCAGGACTGAGACAATGACATTAACAGCTCTTTGTTTCCCTGCCTACTAGTATTTCTTCTACAAGATCATTAGACACATTCAAAGCCAAAATGAGATCCAGATACTTATTTACATAATTGAATTGTTATCTACAAAATATAAGCTGGGAATTAAATAATCTCTTCCAAAATGACCGTGAATAGCATAAAAGATCACATTTAAGATCCTGCTGTCACCATGACCACATTCAGACGGTAGCATTAAAGTTAATTCCGGTCCACTGCATGCCCCCAAGCCTTCCCCTCCCACGGCAGATGGGGTTTTTCTAGCCAAATGAATGACTGTTTTGCTTTCAAAGTTCTCCACTGAAAGGACACTTGGGAAAAATAAATTCACTTATTTCAACTGAAATATGAACTAAGCTGGAAAAAAAAGGAGAATATTTATTTCCATGAAACAATCTTGTGCAGCTGCTGGGGAACCTCTCAGAACCTTCGAAGGAGGGGTGTGTTTTTGGACTGGAATTCATATTTTCATGCAGGAATAGCGCTTCTGATGCCACAACCCAAAAATGCTAACACTCAGCCTTGGTGGTCAAACACTGAATCAAGACAAGGGTGCAGATGAGGACTCAGGACATAGTCATAAACACACCAGAACAGGTGCATTTCCTCGGGGCCAGGCCTTAAGTTGGTTTTTGAGTGACTTCTGCCAGAGGAAGGCCCATGCCTGGGGTCCCTTGTCCCAAGACCACACAGCCCAGCCCTACCTGGGGTCCACTAGCTCTATAAAGACTGGTCAGGTAGGATCTCACCGGCAGCTGCTATACAAACAGCACCACCAAGCCAGGGTTGCAGAGCTGGCCCATTTGGACTTAGCTATATATGTGCCATAATCAGGGCAGACCCCAGTAAAGGCCCATCCTGTATCCAGTCTCCCTGGGGCCACCCGTACTCTGGAGCTCAGACCTTCTTAGACTTAGAAAGGTATGTGATGCAACACTTCCAGCTGGGACCAAGACAACTCCCCATAATCAAACATATCGCTACTTCTGCAGCAAAACATGCATACTGATACTAAGTCAGAAAAATAAGTGCCTCCCCTGCATATCTATTTCAGTTTGATTTTTAAACTCCATGAGCCTGATGCAAAGTTACCAAAACAACATCAAGGGGGACAAAAGCCCTTTAATTTTCAAAGCTGTTGAGATTTGGGAATTGCAGCCAAGTGGTAGTGGATCCCAGAGCATGTCCCAGAGATCCCACCATCCTCTAGAGAGGACAGGCAAGTATCCAGAAAGGCTGTCCCATTCTGGGACCATCTGAAGTCAGACAAGAGGGATTAACCAGATGAGTGATGTCACTTTAAAACCATGAGCCTCTGAGAATGAGGATTTGTCAATGTATAATGTGCTGGAGAGAAAGCCACCCCACTGATATTTCTAATTGATGTTGGTGGTTGGTGGAGGGAAGGGGAGGGGAAAAAAGGAGAGGGGAAGGACAGTTCCCAGAGGGCCAGTCTGTTGAAGCTGGTTTGCAGGAATGCCTGGGCATCAACCAAACTGTGTTTGCTCCAGCCTGCTCTGTCTCTGCACCATTGGCCCAGAGCTCCATTCTTTTTCCTCCTTTGTCCTGGGGATGACCCCTTCCATACCCAACACCTGTGATTTCCTTACTAGGATCTCATCTTACCCTGGGATGCTTCTCCGGGTTGGTGACTATCACAGAGCCTGTCACTGTCATTGTCACCACCATGCTAATCAGGGTCATAGGGCTCCCAGAATGACGGTGAGCATGGTAGGCAAATGCCCATCTCCCCCGTCTACAGAAATGATGGGCAGAGCAGGGAGGGAAGGCAGGGAGCGGAAGTGCTTGATGGGTGAAACCTCAGCCTCTTCTGATGGTACCACGTGTGAGCTGTAGGATGCCTCCCCAGCCATCTCCCCCTACCTGACTCACTCATGATCTTAGCTGCACGTGTCCCATGGGCATGTATCCTGACCATTTTCTTTGCTCCGTGTTGTGTGTACACCTCTCTTGCCAAGATCCAGGAATGCCAGCATGACAACTACTCATATTTACAAGAGGAGACTGGGGCACAGAGAAGCAACATCCTTTCAGTCAGTCACTGGGTCAGGACTCAGGACTGCATTATTTGACTTCAAGAAGAGTGATCAGTAGGCTCTACCATGGCTGATTCTTCCAATCCCATCTCTCTGCACTGACAGACTTCCCACCACAAGGAAGTGGGCTGTTCATCATCCCAGAAGATGCCTTGCATCTGCTCACTTGAAAGCCATGCTGGGCCTCCCCAACCCACAGGACAGAAAAGGTGGGCTGCAGAGAGAGGTGGAAATCAGGCAGACCCGGATTTTCACCAAGGCTGTGGCAGAGCCAGGTGTGTGAGCTCAAGCAGGTTGTTAAACAAAAAAACACAGGCCCCAAATTACTTAGGCCAAGTCACCAAACTTGGGCTTAATACTTACCTGCAGTTTCAATCACCCCCAGAATTGTAAGCTTTAAAGGGTCAGTCAGGACTCTTCTGATCAGCATCAATGAGGTCAACTGTCACAAGGCCCTCTTCATCACATGAGGTGATCTGCTTAATAAGGCCCCCTGCTCTTCCCCCTAAGGGAAGGTGACCTTGCCTGAAACAATCCTTTCTTTTCTCTTGCTTATAACTTTCTTGCCCTGCCCTCCATCCTATAAAAACTTTCCATTTTGTACAACTCCTGGGAGTTCCTCTCTACTTGCTGGATGGGATGTTGCCCGACTCATGAATCAATCATTTAATAAAGCCAATTAGATCTTCAAGCTTACTCAGTTGCATTTTGTTTTTTCACAAGGTAAACCCCCTCTCTGAGCTGTGGCTTCCTCACAGGGCAGGGTGGTGCTGTAAGGATGAAATGTGTACAGCAGCAAGTCAGTCACGTGGCCCTGGTAGGCATGTGACAAATGATGGCTTAAAAAAAAAAAAAAAGAAAGAAAGAAAGAAAGAAAAAGAAAAAGAGGGATTCCTCCATCTCACAAGATACTACAGGACAGGAGAGCTGTAATAAGCAGGCTTTAGCCAAAGGTACAGAAGCACCATCAACTGGGCACAGGGAGCCCTGGGAGCGGGATCAGGGCACAGGGAGCCCTGGGAGCGGGATCAGAGCCCAGGACCCCACAGGTTTCCATGAACATTTCTGAAGAATGAATATGTAAAAGGGCTTGTAAACAATCACGTTCCAGAAAGAGGTTTTCTATCCTCTCAAAGCACTCACTCCCCACTCAGATAGTAGGTCCCTGGAAGGCAGAGGTCCTGCAACAAATCTTCCTACAGACAGAGCCTGGCACATCGGGTACCTGATAATAAGTGTCAACCTAGAAACGAGGCCCACTTTCTTCATCTGAGAGCAAAACAGTTGACTAGAAGACTTTTCAAAACACATATGTATGGAGATTTCCCACGCCAAGTACATGCTGTCTTTCACACCAACAACCAGTTCTCTGATTCTCTGGGCAGGAACTGGGTGTCCAGTCATTCAGTTCTATCCTGATCCTCTCTACCTGAAGTTAGTCTCAGATCAATACTCCCAGATCATCTGGAAGAGTCTTTGCTTTTCCTTCGCTTCCTATTTCTGTGGGATCCCCTCTCATTAAATCTTCAAGATATGATTATGTAGGGTTGTTACAGGGACATACAAGGAAGGAGGGGGTCCTGGATGTGAAACACACCACAGGAACCCCAATTCTTCCATGCGTCTGAGAACTGGTTTCATTAGCACCTACCTTGAGCCCATAGGAAACAAGTGTGTATGCATGCACGTGCACGGAAATATCTATAGCAGGAGAGTGAGAGAGAACAAAGAGAACATTTTTTTAAAAAAAAAAGTACATATGGTATAATACAAAACATAATTGGTCTGTCCCAGGTTCTTGGCACAGTGTTTCTAAAACCTTGGGAATTCCCTAAGGATAGGAGTGTCTCTTGTTATTCAGAGTTCCTTCTGAGCCCACCACAGGTTTCTAATGAGGTGAGGTGACTTAAGGTGGGACCCCCTAGATCACCTCAGGTTGCCAGCATGCAGCTGGTCATCAGAAAGACCAAGCTTTGACTAGTGGGTGGGAACTTTCAGCCCCTCCCAACCTTAATATCCAGGCAGAGGAGAGAGAATGGAGACTGGGTTATAAAAACTCTTGAACAACAAGGTTCAGAGAGCTTCCAGATTGGTGAACAGGTGCCAGGACAGTAACTAGCCCACAGAAGGCAGAAAAGCTCTGTGCCTCCCCCACACCTTGCCTTATGCCTCTCTTCCATTCACTTGTTCCTGACCAGTATTCTTTATAATAAATCAGTAAATATAAGTGTTTTCCTGAGCTGCATAAGCTGTTCTGAATTTGAACCCAGCTGGACGGGAGTGTGGGTAGCCTGGACACCCCCTTTGCAGGTGGCACCCGATTTGGGGGCAGTCTTGTGGGATTGAGTCCTTAACTTGTAGGATCTGATGCTAACTCCAGGTAGAGAGGATCAGAATAGAACTGAAAGGGTGGACACCCAGTTTGTGTCCAGAGAATGAGAGAATTGGTTGTTGGTGTGAAAGAGCATGTACTTGGTGTCAGAAAACTCCATACATATGTGTTTTGAAAATTTTTCTAGTCAACTATTTTGATTTCAGATGAAGAAAGTGGGCCTCCTCCTTCCTCCTGTCCCTGACAATTCTTTTCTGTCAGTATGACATAATGATTGAAATCATCATTAACTATGGGTTGTTATGAGGGCCCTAAGCAAGCCACTGGCCAGCTTGTGTATGAACGTAACATGCGGTATTTCTATGTATCAGAGATGAAGTGGTAGAAAATGCAGATTAAAAAGGTAAACATTTTAGAAATAAACATGGTTTACAACCTAACATTCTACAATGTGAAGACTATTCATTCCATAATTAGAATCAGGAAGTAGAAAATAGAGAACATAAGGATGGGAAACATAGAGCCAGAAGAATGGTCAAAATTCCAAAATAAGAGAGGCCAGATTCTTTTGA